TCAGTATATCTCAGTTRGTGATTTATATATACATATACATATAGAAAATTGCTTCAAAATACGTTCTCAAGTAAACAATGTCAAAATTATTGCATCCCTTCCTTTGCCGCAATATATCCTATAAAAGTATCTCCGTCTTTCCACTTGTGTAGAAACCGTACTGGTTGATAAATATGTGTGATATTTTAATGAAAYTAAAAGGACAAGCACCAAAAAGCCATATAATGGAATTTGTCCCGAACCTTGGTCTAAACATAATATCCTTAATATATAATTTTAACTGATGAGAACTACAATATATGAATAAGACTACGTCTAAGTTTATGGAATTTAATACATAGTAAGTCAAGAAAATTTGACTGTAATTTACTCGGGATTTCATCGAATAATGAACGTTTAATTTTTATATCCTTCCAACATTTTGCCATTTTACTACAGAGAGTAACAGTTTTGTTGACCTAAYGGTTKTTTGTATCACCTAAAACTTATCGAGTTAGATGGTATGTTGCCTTTTATATTTCGGGGTTAGGGATAATCGCTTTATTATATTTTAAAATATTCTCCAATCTCGAAGCATTTTTGCCACTCTAAATGAAACCTGCTTTTTAAGAGAATCAACCGCCTCTTTAGGTGTCGAGAAATGTTGACTTTGATTTTTTTTCGTACGGGAATAAAAATAACTTATTCAGTCAAGACCTTACGGTCGATTTCTCAAAAATGGTTTCAGTCGATGTCGCATTGATCTTACTTCAGTATTTTATTTTCCTGATTTCTGGTTTGACTGGCACAAAACTCAGAATTTACTCCCTCCTCCTTGTTYTAGTGGTAYGGTTGCGATAAGTCCAGTTTTTCCACAAAACAGGACAACTATTTCCTTGAAAGCGCTTCGTGTTCGAACAGTTTTTTTTGWATTCGGCTCATTTGAAATACCCATACAGTTGACTGCTGTTTACTATTCTCCAAATCTTCTTACAATGCTTCTTCTTTGCTGGCATAGATTATAGCCGAGTTATCCTTTTCATAGGGGTCGTTTTTCACGTGGGGATTCCCAAACCTAGCGCACAACCCTGGGAAGGGATTGTTCGCTTTCTCACTTTAGCTCGCCTTCAAACGTATGTTCTTTGGCTACYCAGAGGATATTTGGTCTAAGACCAGAAGTCGTTAATGGCTTGAGCCCTATAAAAAAATCATTTATGATCACTCCCAACAGAATGGCAATCAGAGAACTTTCCTCACATGCGTGAACTTGTACACATGACTCCATTATCCTACAGTCTGGTTCACTTGATAGAGGCAACAATTTTTGTGAAAGAAAATGTTGAWCAAAGTTTCTATATTTGATCTTTCAACAAATARTTTTCTGYTAACTCAAGCTAAGACTGTACTGGTTTAAAAATACRAACACATCGAAATATTWTGTCAGCTAACGGTATTTCGTAGCGGTAAAAGTTCGGCAGCTGCAATATTCTGCTTGATTTATTGGTTCACTTGAATAGAGGCACTTAGTTTGCTTATATCATTTGCGCAATAAAGGTGTGAAACTAAATTTTGTTTTTAAGCATTCATTGTGTTAAGTCGTAAACTTATAAATTCGAATAAAATGGGAAAGCGGAAAAGTTTATCAGAGCGAGAAAAAGGACAAATTGATATATTGACCTCTGAAGGACTTTCAAATCGCCAAATTACCAAAAAGATTGGTCCAAATGTTGTTGATCATTATGTGAAAAAGAGTGCCTCCTACGGTAAGAACTACAAAGGTAGGACTGCGGTGGCTTTAACACCAAAGGAAACCCGGAAAGTCCTTAGGATTGCATCCAATTCCGCACTTTCAACATCAAAAATTAAAAAATTAGCTKATGTTGCAGCTAGCAAATCCATAGTTAGATGGGCTATTCTGAAAGCACCACATCCGAAATATAAAAAATTACAAAAAAACCGCCTTTGAATAAACTTCGCAAGCAACGTCGCCTCGATTTTGCAAGAGACCACATGGCTTGGAATTCTGTCACAAATAACGACCCTGGTGAATGGAAAAAAGTTGTRTTTAGTGACGAAAAGAAATTTAATCTGGCCCATCCATCATGGATGGATACAATTACTATTTCTATGATTTAAGAAAGGAGGAGAAGTATTTGAGTCGCCATCACAGCCGTGAAGGTGGAGTTATGGTATAGTGAGCAATATCGTACTATGGCGCGTTCGAGCTGAGAATTGTAGTCTCCAGAATTACGGGGAACAGCTATAAAACGATGTTGGAAGATTCGGGAAACATTTGGACCAATTTCATTGATTTTTCAACAAGATAATGCTCCTGTTCACACTGCAAGAGTGGTCAAAGCTTGGATGGCGTCCCAAAACATTGAAACCTTAGCATGGCCCCCGTATTCCCCAGATCTCAACACTATAGAAAATGTATGGGAATGGCTAACTCGTAAGGTTTATGAGAACGGACAACAATTTTAATACAAAAATTATTTAATTCGAAGCATTAAAGCGGCCTGGTCTGAAATGTCGCTAGTCTATCTCGGGGGTTGTACAAATCCATTCCCCAACGTGYTTATGAAGTAATTTACAAAGAAGGTGGCAGCACAAACTATTAATCTTTAAAAAGTAATGGTTAAAAAACTTTGTTCTTGTATCTATTTATATATTTTTTCTAAATTTGTAAGTGCCTCTATTCAAGTGAACCAATATATCAAGCAGAATATTGCAGCTGCCGAACTTTTACCGCTACAAAATACCATTAGCTGAAATAATATTTCGATGTATTTGTATTTTTAAACCAGTACAGTCTTAGCTTGAGTTAGCAGAAAACTATTTGTTGAAAGATCAAATATAGAAACTTTCATCAACATTTTCTTCCACAAAAATTGTTGCCTCTAATCAAGTGAACCAGACTGTAAGTACCGAATATGTGGACACCAGTGCTTTTAGTTGACTTTTTACCTAAAATATCGGTTAATGTGTGAGATGATAAAAATAAGCTGCATCCGGTTAATACTTCCATTAGCCCCCATATACGTAATGTTAAGGTTTTCGAACTTCCGGTTGACTTCATGGCGTATATATCTCTTATATGTAAGTTATCTCAAAGAAAATGAGAGAGCGTATTTTTCCAATAACGGTGCTTATTTGTGGTTAGGATGAATAAATTGTGTGAAAACTTGCCGTAGATCTCATATAACTAACAAGCATTATGTACCTGATGATATTATCCTGGCTTTAATCCTTGCACGTTACAAGGGTATGAAATGTTCGGTTGTACCCGAACTTAGGCCCTCTTTACCACATATATGTATATAAATTATTATTATTTTTTTTAGTTTTCTATATAATTNTATATATCTCTTATATGTAAGTTATCTCAAAGAAAATGAGACAACAAGCATTATGTACCTGATGATATTATCCTGGCTTTAATCCTTGCACGTTACAAGGGTATGAAATGTTCGGTTGTACCAGAACTTAGGCCCTCTTTACCGCATATATGTATATAAATTATTATTATTTTTTTTAGTTTTCTATATAATTTTTTGTTTATAAATTACACATGTCTTGAAAATTTAATACCTTCATGGAAAGAAAGGGAAAATTTCAGATCGATATTTCCTAAACTGAGGTCCTAGTTCACGTAAATASTGACGTATTGGGTCTAAGCAACTGCTCACTAGAATAAATGAAATAGCTATCGGATAATTGGTTCATAAGAATTTTTGAGTGGAAAAGTTCATTTTTGAAATAAAAAAACGTTTTAATGTAAAAATGCCGCTGATTCYAAAAAGTGATCAGACAAGTGTAAATAAACTTACCCATAAAGAGATTTTTTCGACATTCTGTGCAAAGTGAATGTCGTGTGAGATTATAATTAAGACAATGTCTTTGTCTGAAATTAATTGAAACAAGGACAAATTACTTGATGCTCTTTGGAGAGGCTCAGGTTACTATTTAGAAGCAAAACAAAAGTGTTCAACAGAAAAGGAATAAAAATTACCCTCGATCTTAAGTAACTCATTTTGATGAAAAAATTTTTTTTCTTTAAAATGTCTATTGTTATGTGTACATCCATACATATGCAAGTTTCTGTTAAAAATAACTCCAGTTTTTATCGACTTTCGCTTAAAAAGGTGCGAGGTCAATTGCCCACAACCCAATGACACCATTTGGTTTTTACTATTTTTATACGATTTTAAAACTTTATTTCTCAAGATGAAAATAAACAATATAATTTTTTGTATTTTACTTTTTTTTGCAAATTTTACATAATTTCAATAAAATAAGTTTTATTTATGATTAAAAATGTAATATAGTTGAATGTTGTATTCTTTTTGTTCTTATCTGCATTATTTTTCGCCGTTTTAGGGGTTCTGTTTTCTGTTTTTGTTTTTGTGTTTGTTATTTTACTTTTACTTTATTGTTTGAATCTAAAGTTGTCACTTTCCTTGGGTAAATACAACTTATGCATGTATGTATAATTTCTTTACATGTTTTCTACATATTCCAAATATTCAATTTTGCTTACTTACAAACTTTGAAGCGACCAAGTTTTCGCTTAATCTATGTGTACAAATGTGTTGTGCTTGTGTGTGTTTTCGTGTCCACAATGAACATTTACAATTCAATGAAGATGCAAAGACGAGCATCCAAACTAAAACTAAACTAGTTCCATGGCAACCAAGAATKAATTGTCTTATTAAAAAATTTGTATTTTCAAGTTCAATTTCAGTATGGAAAATTAAACTAAAATTTTTGTAAAATTTTCATTAAATTTCCTTATAATGTAAATTAGTTTGGTTCAATTCTGGTTACACATGAGCTTGGTAAACAATATTCAACAATTTGAACTCAATGACAAATATAATTTTTAAAGTCTTTCACATATTTGACTCCAATTATGAATAGCTTCGTAAGAAAATATCCTGGTCAAAGCGTTGTTCCTGCGAAAATGAACTGCGCGGAGTGAACTGCTTGAACAACTTTTCTGTGTATTTCATTTATTATTATTTTTTTTTGGCTTATAGCTCTTAGTGTTACGTTTATTTCATTAACGTATAAGCGATTTATATATGTATATATATAAACTTTAATCCTAAATTGTTTGTACTATCTCATGGAAATAATTCCGGTCTATTGCAGTTTAACTAAATAACTTTTTTTTATTTACTAATTGCCTCCTTGTTGTTGTAAGAGCTCAAACATAAAGTTTTCAATTAATAATGGTACACATATGAGAAATTCGAACCTAWAACTCCATTACTGCTTCAAAAGCTGCTTTGAAGATTGTGATGACAAAAATGCACAATTAGTATGTTGGAAAATTGATTTCCATTGTCTAATCAATGTTATGAAAAAATATGAAGTGTGTACAAAGTCCTAAAAATAGCATCAATTGAAGTCGTTTTTAACAAAATACTAATAAAAGATTAACCGTGTTTWAATATCAATTCTGTTGAAGATTTACATTTGAAACGTTTTAATATTCRTGGAATTTTCGCGGCCGCTAATTTCACGAAACACATCAGACTCTGCCTTATGTTAAGTTTTTGGAGCAAGTTTTTTCGCTTAGTATTATAAAATTATGTTTATTAGCCATTTTTGGCGGGTTCTGGTATGCTTAAGACAAGATTTCTTAAAGTTTTTTTTCTAATTGCTTATAATTAAAATTTTTAATTAGTTTTTTGACGTCAATCCAAAATGCGCTTGCTAGCACACTTTGCATTGAAAGGGTATCCTAGCTCCTTGGTTCAATTTAGTTAACATCCCTTTTGTAAGAGTTTTTTTTTTTTGTTTAAATATGTTTATTTTCGACTCAACTAAAAGCCTTATTATATCCCACCACGTTCTATGATCTCAAGTTTTGATTTATTTAACGCCTGCTTGTACATGCATATATCTTAACCATGATTAATTTAGTCCTAAAAGGTTCTCATATTCTTATGCCTAGGGAGTTTACTTTATGTTTAAATTTTTGTATTAATTTATGTATACTCTACTCTCAGTATATTATCAGAATATATATATATTTTTTTACTTTTTGCTTATCTTTTTAAATAAAGTTTTGTTTAGTTTTTTTTCAGTAAAGATTGCTGCCACATAATGGTAGAGTAACTAAGAATTATGATCGGGTATAAATTAAGCCGCTTTGCGTTGAGATCCTCAATGTGTGAGTTTCATACACTCATCTTCGTTTACATTACTTCGTTTTTTAACTTTTGAAGTATTTGAAATAAAGTAAGTCGTTCGTTGTTAACAAAATATACACAAAAAGCGCTCTAATTCCGACAATTGAAGATTTTGATTTTTGTTTTGGTCTATTTTGGGCCCGTTTTAGTTAATCATTCATTCGTTTTCTACGATTCAGTTCGTTTTTAGTTTTTAATTTAATTTTTTAATTTTTCTAAAATTTTTCTGTTTTTTTGTTTGTTATTTTTATTAAAAAATCAACGTTTTTTAAGTATTTGTTTTGAAGGCACTTTTGATCGGACGATTTGGCCCATGTGCGATTTGTTTATGTTTCATTTTGGCTGCTCATGGTAAAGTTGGATGCTTTTGTGGTTGTTGTGGTTGTTCAATATTTGCTTAAAGTAATCATGAAAATTCCAAAGTGATTCCAAATGAATTTGCCAAAGGTATTGTCGAAACTTTTCCTATTATTCTAAAATTGTCCGCCTACTTCGAAAATTGCATTTTGAACAAAAAATCGGTTGCCGGTTACTTTAAATTTGTTTGTGTCGCCTTCCATATCAATGCTATTGCCTCTTAACGTTGTTTATATCAATGTAGATCCAGTTATTGTTATTTTGTTGCCTTGAGAATCGTTCAATTCTTCGAATTAGGGCGCTAAATGTACTATTACTTATTTTGCGATCGCGTTCTTCATGGAGTCTCATTTCAGAAATCAGAAAAGAAATCAGTTTATTTGTGGAGACTTTGGTTCAGAATCAGCGTTGGAAGTTAACTGACGCCAATGAAAGAACTTGTCTGGAGTTAATATGAAGTTGGAAAATATGAAAAATTAAATAAACATATTATACTTGTAAATAGGAGCCACACTTCTAACTCCCATTTGGTAGTGCTGTAAATAATATAACTCAAGAAACAGCCGCATTAAAGACGTTAAAAAACGGAAATCCGGTTATAAAATCATTTGTAAATTACTGTTATAAACTGTGAATGAGAGCATGAAACCTCACTATATAAGTCTACCTCATACAATAGTTTACATATAACATATATATATATATTTGTTATATATGTATATAGTATAATTAATAAGTGTAATTTTGCATTGTATGCATACATGCAGGTATATACGCATGTATGTACATACAGTAAGTATCATGCCGGTGAGCAACCGGAAGAGCTGATGCGTTTCGGAAAACAGTGGAATGTTCGAACTTGGTAAATATAGTACACATTTCGTTATGTTTAAATTAGACATAATTATAGATGTATGTATTTATGTATGAACAAATTTACATATGTATGTATGCACGTATGTTTGAATTGTAATCTCGTATTTATGTATGCTTATGAAACGTGTTACAAGATTACACATATACTTTTACTTACTTTATAACATACCAAATACATACTTATTTATGTGTGCATGTGTACATAGATGTGAGTGACACGCATTTATAGTATGTAAGTATGTATGTATGTATGTATGTATGTATGTATTTATGTGTGTATGTAGTTTGGTGTATATGCATAAATCTGTACGTTAAATGTAGGTTTGTTATACACAGTTATAGGTTATAAAGTCATTGTTGTTGTTTTTGACTGTTTAGCTTTAGCGTGCATAAATGTATGCATGTATATTTTTCATAAAGCCAATAATATTAATATTAAAACTAGTTTTGTCTTTATTGATTTATGGATGTGTTTAATGTAATCTTTGCTTTTTTTTTGCTTTTATATCGTATTGTGCACATTTGCATTGTTATTGAGCTTCTTCGATTCATCCAAAAAGAGAGGCGTATAATTTTATGCCTATCCAGTTATACAATAATCATAAATGCTACATTTCTGTGTTTACATACAATTAAAAAGTAAGTTTAAGTAAGTCGGGCTTAAAATTGAATTTTCCTTAATTGTATTTTCTTATCTGTTTTATCCTAACATAATATGCACACATCCCTCTAATATTTTACTTTCATTGTTTTTTGAATAGCTTTCGTTCACCTCCTATCACTCATCCTAATGAATGAAGAATGCGTCAAATAAAGATCATTCAAGACGATGTCACAACATATAGGATTTTTATTTAATTACAGTTGAACAAAATCGTTTTAAGATATTTAAAACTTTTTATGTTGATTTTTGTTATGTTTTCCTAATTAATCTTTTTTCGCAGTGTTTTATATTATTAGAATTTGGTTTGTCTTTTTGAATCGTTGAGCAATGTTTATATAAATTTTGTTTCTCTTCTAAATTTATCAGTTTCTCTTTTGCTTCAACGTTTACTTATATGGTAATAACATAGAATACACCTCTTAATTTTTGCTCTTGTTATGTAGATGTCGTTGAAAAGTCTTTGATCAAAATTAAAAGTTAGGAGGATAATGAACAAATGAATATCAAAATGTTGTAACTTAGAGGAAATCAAACTGTGTAATATACTTATAAATGTAAGCATATTGGTTAAAATGCACTGTGCAATATTTTCATATTTGAAATCTGCTTTAGTAGTGGAATTTTTCTTCACCGATTTTGATTATGATTTTGAATTTTGTAAATAAAGAAAACATCTTTCGTCGGCTAACCGGCGACATTACTGCCTGTTCTTCGATACGTCGTCTATGAAATACTGATTTACTTTATCATCTTGGCTAGCAAGTTCAACTGATCGGCTTGCTTTTCAATATCGAGCGGAAAGGTTCAGTCGCCGGTAAAAGTTGTCATTTATTTATTGCTTGGTTTGCTTTTTTTGATTTATTTCCATCATTTCTATTATATATATTTTTGATAATTTTGCGATTACGGTAACTTTTGAATTTTGTTGAGATTTCGCTAATTTTGGCTTATTGTTGATATTAATTGGTTTGAATTTTGTCGATCACTTGAATTGTGTTTTCAGTTTGGAATCGTTGCGATTGCTAGTGATTTGGTTTGCTTCCGGTTATGCCCTTATTGTTGTTGATTTCAGACTGCTATTTTTTATTTGTTGAGTTATGTACATATATTGTTTTGTTGTTTTGATTCCAATTATAGAAAATATAATTTAAGGCAGATGTTCTGTTTTGATAATTTAGATGGTATATTTGTTCGCAGAAATGGAAGTAATCTAGTTGGATGAGAAAAATTAGGGTACATATTTGGGAGAATTCTTCAGTGTTTCATATAAACACTTTGGTCAATGTGAATATATATAAAAACGCAAAMAAAAAATTTTTCAAACATCGAAATTTTAATTTTTTTCACCAGAGTGCCGTAAATAAATTGAAATAATTTTCATTTCTTGTAACCACTTTTGTTCGTTTTGGGATTCAAAAAATGTTTTGTTTTTAGATTGTTCACAATAATTTACACTTTTGTTATTCTTTTAATTTATTTTGGGTTTTTTCGTTTTTATTTTAATTTTAGTGTTTATGTCGTTTATTTTTGTTTCTTAAAGATAAGGCGCGAAGGTGCTTAAAATAAGCTTGTACTTTTTTCGTGATATATTAAATTTTTCCATAGTTTCTCATATTTGCCCATAAAATGCATCTCAATTTTTCCAGCGCTTTCCACAAATTTTGTTTCTACGAAATTTTGACTTCCAAAATTTGGTAATTTTTTAAGTAATTTTTGAGTTTGGTTTTTGGTTTTGCTTTTCTTTTTAATTTTAGCTTTTTTGTTATAATTTTTGAATATAGTTTTTGAATATTTTTGTCCTTGACTTACACCGAGAGAGAATTATCCAAAGGTGGCCGAGAGGTTTCCTGAATTTAAGTTCCAGAATTTGTTGTAATATCCATTTTTGATCCTACATTAAGTAAATCGAGTTCCAATTATACGCTCTTCCGCTAAGTTTGTCATGTTAAAAGTACATTTAATAATTTTTAACGTCGCCGTAATGTCAAGTAAAGTGAAAGTTTTTAGTAAATATCTGTATTTTCGTTTGATTTGTTGCGATCAACGGGATTCGAACAGAACTGAAGCTGGTGGTCAATCAAAAAATATGAAAATTCTGCCTGTAAATTATAATATTGAATATTTCAAAGTTTACTTTTGAAAATGTTCACAAATTTTCTGTGATTTTTGTTTAACGAGTCCTAGCTGGATTTCCAATGTCAAACATACATATGTTCTGTTGACATGTTTAGCTGAAGATTCTTAGATGTCGGAGCTGTACGCCAGAGGATGTAATACAAATTTATATTTTTTGTATCAAATAGCTTTTGCTTATTTTTGTTCCTTCAAAATTTTGTAAATTTCTATTATTCTTTTTCGTATTTTTTTATTTTGTTTTTGTTTATTTGTTTCAACATTCAAGTCCGAAAATGTACCTAAAGTGCCTAAAAGTACTTCTAAATTGTCAGTTTCCTTTAATTGTATACTCGCTATACTCATATAATATATAGGAACATTACCGAAAGTTCTCGTGTTTCTTACTAGTTTTACATCTTACACCTAAACATATCAATTAAAGTTAATTTAGGTTATAATTCATTTAAATTAGTTCAACTACATTAAGTTTTTTTTGTTTTTTTTGTGTATACACCCTCCAACGTCTCCCTTAAGCAATAGATGTCGCGCTCTCTACATCCGTTAAGAACATCCGGGGTCTGGTAGATTTCATAATCTCTTACGTTTTCTCAATCATTTTAGATTTGTCTCATTTTTTGTTATTTATCATTAAGTCCGGGAGTTTTCATCACTTCTAAATGTTCACATTTTTCACAAAGATTTGCCAAAGTTATGTCCAGGATTGCTTTTTTGTTATCAAAAGTTGGTTCATCTTTCTTACGTATTTGTTCAGAAGCCACTTTTGCTTATTTATTTTTATTATATTTTAGTTTTAGTCCACGGAAGTTTATATTAATATTACTTATTTTATCATAACTTTCTCCTTCTTTCCTTGAACTATCTAATATAACGAATTTATGCCAAAATCTTTATTTCAAGCCGAAATTTTTATTATCAAAACTTATACATTGTATACATACATATATGTACAATGCCTTCTAAATCGTGTTAATATTTATACGAAATTCATGAGGGAATCATAAAAAAACTGACAAAAACAGAAAAATAAATTAATGTCTAAAAACATACTTAGATAAGTCGTAAAAATTTAAACATTTACATACTCAATACACACAATTCCAGATTGACTAGAACCAAAAAGAAGCATTGAAAATGAAAGCCATACATACCAATGTGCTTATTCTTCTGTGCATAGGAAGTGTACACATAATTCAAAATGGAATGACATACGGTCCAATGTACTGATTAATTCCTTTATATTGCTTAGCAAACATTTAGCGACATTTTAAAACATATTCATATATGCATATCATATATCAGTCAGTTCGGAGTTAGAAAATTACGAAAGATTAAGTGGTAATGTATGTAAATTATTCAGTTCAGTCAAACTGGAATTGCTTGGTGTTTTAACTTCATTTAGCCAAAATATGTAATTTCGTGCATTCTAGGTTATTTCTTTATGATTTGTGTGGTATTTTAAGAAATACCTTGATTTTCCAAATAAAAATATTATTTACCTCAATCGTTGTATGTGTATTAATGTAAAAAAGCTAGAGAAATCTCTTATCAGGAGTTATACAACAAGTAAGTGTTTGCTTTGAATTCTGATACATACACAGAATGACATCCATATTTGAAGTACATAACCTATGATATTTTGTGTTGGCGATTGCTAAATACATAGCGATACTCCTGTATTATTTTCATTAACTACGCATGTCGTGTGTACTTCGCGAAGATTTCATTTGCCTTTCATCTTACTTTGAAATGACGACCTGACGCCAGCATCATAATTCTTTTGATTAAGAAACGATTTGATTTAACGATTTATCGCATAAAATGTGTCAATATGTTCCTTTATAAAAGCCAAATAATAACTGTTGTTCAAAATATAAGTTCTACATATGTAGTATGTGGTGTATTTGTAGCGTGACGAATATTTTTCGCTACATGGTCTTGTTATGATTTCACTGATGCCTTTAATACTGTATATATGATTTTTTATAGAATATATACGATTTTATTGAGGGAAGGAATCATATCGGATTTAGTAAGTATTTATTTCTGTTTTCTGGTGTTGTTTTGTAAGTGTTTTGATATTTTTGAGTAATTGGGTATGCTGAACTTAATCCAATGTCATTGTGGTTCACTGTTTGCTGTTCGCTTCTCTTTGGGCAACCATCGCTGTATTTTTTCCTGTCGGTTGGTTATATTTTTATGTATTACATTGCCTTGCCAATGCGTTTAGCTTATAAACGAATCTATTATTTTGATATATGTTTTCTGTTGTCTTATGAAATATGAGTTAATGTAGGAATGAGTTTATTTTTCATTGATTGCAAATTGAGAGAGATTATGTGCTGATTTGGAATTTCATTTGTAGCCCAAGCTTTTAAGTGAAATAAAATTTTTTCAGATACGCCTGATTTTGAAACAGAAGCAGTTGGATCATAATTTGATTTTATGTATAAAGTTGAATAAAATATTCCACTTAGTTTTTAATGCATGAAGTTTCAAACTAAGGACTTAATATTTGCCAAGATAACATATATAAAATATTGGATAACAGTTTTTGCTGTAAGTATTACTAATTGGCATAGCTTTTCAGTTATTTCGCTTAAAAATTCGTATTTCTCTCAATTTGTTAAATTTTGAATATCAGCTACTGTTTATATGGCAAGCAATAATATATTAAGTATACATACTTACTTTACCTACGTACCTAGTAAGAATATTGTTATATATGGTTGTGTTATTTGGTGTCTGTTTATGTTCAAATGACTGTATTATAATGTTTCACTTATTGCATTCATATTTTTTGGAAGATTTACTCCTTTTTTCTGAAATTCGCAAACAAACAGTTTCAAAATGTTCAATGTTCAGTTGCATGCAGCATTTTCAGCTTTGCTTATAAGGGTTTTTAATAGTTTTTCTATTTTGTTTTTCGTTTTTTTTTCATTTATTTTAATTAAATTCTTGTTTAATTAGCTTGTCTTAAACTCCTACATTGCATTTATGTTGTTAATTTCTTTAACTACACATTAACCTTATAAAATGCTTATTTCATAATAATATTCTTTGTAGAAATATTTCGGCACTATTGTTGGAAATAATTAATTGATTATTTTGTTTTTATAACGTTCTTCCTTTTCAAACAAAAATTCTTAAGGGCCAATGTGTTTGTTGTTTGAACTCATAATACTTACAAAATCATAATATATAAAGAAAAAAATAATTGTATGACTTCTTTTTGATGTTCCTTGATTTACTGTTGGATTGTTTGTTCATCTAGCTTTCTCCGCATATAGAAAGTCCTGGTACTGGCATTTAATGATTGAAAGCTCAGACATCTGTCACGGTAGAATGGAGCCAGTTTAAACTTGAAGTGTAAGCTTGACTTACATGCACCCATATGTGTGCAAATCGTTGGGTAGTTCGTTCAAATGCGAAATGCTCTATTGAGCTCCCAGCACTTAATGAACTTCCTATATGTATGTGTTGAAACTCATTTCAATATTAACGTAGTTTTCGGGTTCGGTCTGGTTTTAACATAAAGAAAAACGATTGTATTGACGTTTCTAACGTAAAGATTTGTTATTGTATTAATACAACTCAAATATATTTGAAACTAATATGGTTGTTGTAACTACGACTGATTTGCTGGCATAGGTCGCCCGCTATGGTACAAGTATCGAGGGTGCTACCCAGCCAGCTTCAGTCACCTTGGTTCCCTTGTGGTAATGGTATGACTTCGATGTCTCTGACGTCCGCAGTTCATCTCAGTCATACCATCAACCGTTAGCTATTGTAAAATGAATTGGTAAAACTCGCGCTCAGCCTCCCCGTGCGTTGTTGCGCCTTCGGGTAGGCTATGAAGGAGCGCTGTATGATATGCTATTGTAAAATATAAGCAAAACGTTTGCAATTGGCTCACTTATGTGTTAATATTGGCTTAGTTTATATGAATGTACTCACATAAATTGCTGTTCATCTATTTGTTGCAATACTTTAGATTTTGATTTTGTTGTTGGTAGTTTAGAATGAACATTTTCTATTTCAATATATATGTTTGTACGTAGAAGTGTACATTTTGTGYTATGCTAATTTATTTATTATTTATTTCACTTCGTGTTGTTTTCTTGTTTAGTATGTTTCTTTATTTATTCTGTTTTTATACATAAACTATTAAAATATCTGATCACATTTGTTTGCAGTCTCTGTATATAATATATATGTAGATAATGTGTTTTTATCATTCATTTCACACAATTTGTTAAGTTACATCTTAAGAAATGTGTTAAGCTTTTGGCATGATTCTTTCATTATTATCGATTAAACGAAAAAGAAATTTGTCAATAGAAAACATATTTATCGATTTATTCTAATATTCGGCTACTGTTTTTCCGATCTTAAACTTTCGTTTTACACGAATTTTCTGTCGTACATTTTGTTGTTGCAGATTCCTGCGCTATTGCGTTTTTCTTTTGCTTTTGAAGATTTACCCAATTATATTTGGCAAATCCTGTACTCTTGGATTTTAAAATTTCACTCTCGCTCTGACAATTTTTTGTAACGCCCACTATGTTTTGTGTGTACATATGTGGTGGCAACTGAACTGAAAATGCTTCTGTATTGAAAACTTCACTGGGCTATTGTTGTGTTTATATATTTCTATTATTTTACTTTCTTTTTACTATAAATACATTGTGATTGTACTATTGCGGTATTTGTTTTTGTTGGCWATGGCGATCGTTAAGCATTTGTTGAGTGCTCCTGCTAATGTATATTCTAAGGGGGATATATTCATATACTTCTTGTACATATGTACATAAAGACTTGCTGGCCAAGAGCTGTGGCAATTCGTAAGGACAGCAAAAGATTCGCATGGAAAAAAATTTATTATTGCCAATTTATTTGGTTTATGTAGTTTGTACCTGTTGTAGTGCACCTAGACTGTCGAGAGTTATATGTTGAGTGGTCTAAAGTGCACTTGCTTATAAAAATTATATCTAAGTCACTGGGCTATTGCATTGCTAATTTACGTATTATTATTCTCATCAGTTTATTGCTATTTCATTTGTTTGTGTAAACCAAAAAATTGTTGCAACTTTGCTGTTTACGCTTGCCCTCTGTATGGCCAATAAGTCATTGTATTCTATCTACCCCCGAGACTGCCATAGCATGGAATCAAATCTTTTATATCTGTATATATGTAAGTAAGTTAAGTATATATTTAAATGAAAGGAAAACTAAATATTCGTTCAAAATGTTTGCAGCGTTGTCGTTGTATTAAAATTGTTTGACAACTTTTTTAATTCAAATTATATTTGTTTGTTGCTTTAACCATCTCAAGACACTAACGGTGAGTTGATACGAAAAATTGCCAGTTTTGTCACGCAACTGCTTTGTGGTACACATATCTGCCAATTATTGATCAATTGTGCAATTGTTCAAATAAAATCGAAATTTTTAAAATATACTAAATTAACAGCGCTTTTATCACTTATTTTATGCTGATGTTGAAATTGGTCTTATTGTAGCTAATTTTTTGTTTTTATTGTTATTTTATGTATTTCATGCTGCTAAATGCAGCACATGGCGCGAAAACTGATTACGAAGGAAGTAGACCTTCTTGCCGATATTATTCTGCATTCCAATGCTTTCTATTTTGCTCATTTCCGATCTTGGATTATGAATCCTCATAATTCAGTTTTCGTTGTCGCAGAGTTTTCATGTTTCTTTATGCCCTTTCAAAGAGCAATAAATCAAATGAGAATAAATTGGTTGTTGTTTAAAAAAACGGAAAAAATTAATCTGAAAATAAGAATATGTTTTTTAGTGTTGCATGCATATATTATGTTATTTATTAGTTATTATTTTGTATTAAGTTATTCATGGCTAGCTCTCTCCAATCACATCTTAGCTTCATTCCCCGCGTCGTGGGCATTCGTATAACCTTTCTACTTCATTTTTTTTTTTACTGTATTTCAATGCTATTTGTTCGTTTAGTATAAAAATATAAATTGCTTTATAAAACTTTATGTTGGTATTTTTAAAATTGTACTATAAATTATTCCGGTTTTGAAATGCCGCCAATGGCGTCCAAGGAAAAGCCCCCAAACAGTCCCACTGTACGACATTTTTCACTATTGCAACTAAAATGGCACAGTATTCCCATGGCCCCGGATCCAAGATCCAAGTCCACAGTTCGTTTGTTTAAGTCTATTAATATTTCTTTAATTTTTTTTTTTTGTTTTATTTTTTATTTTTTTTTGTTTTTGTATAGGAAATGTTTACTATTTAATATACTTTTTTCTATGTTGATCTTTAACCACATCTATTAAAAACACGAAATGAGGATGGAGTAACAGTCAAATTAAGAGCTTGATATGAGTGCACGTTGTCTCCGTCAACCAAACCCTTGGTTCGGTGGAGGTGTGCATTGTTTAAGTTTCAATTGGTTACTTCGTATTGTCATCAACTTGTTTGGAGTTGTTATATTTAATTAAACATATGAATATGGAGCTTTGTTTCTAAGTTGCATAAACATTGTTTTTCTGTTTGTAAATATGTTAAACATTTTGTTGAGAAAATTAAAAATATCACATTCGAGTTGTGAATGTTCCCCTGGGCTATTGTTGTTGTCTTAAACTAAATTCAGAAAATTATTTATATGTTATTGTTAGTTTTTGTATATTTTGCAACTGTTGAATGGTTGCAAATATGGTTTTACGCTTTTAATCTTCAAATTCAACGACTTAAGTGTAGCAGTTCTTTTTCATTATTTTCATTTTTCTGTTGTTGTCGTAACTACTAGTTGTCTTGTTAATCTTGTTAATCTTGTATCAATTGGCGTGGTTTTGCTCTTTTTTTGGTGCTTTTATGCAACTTTTTATTTTCTCATTTCGTGTTATATGAATATATATCAATTGAATTTCGAATTTTTTACAGCCGAAACATTATTTTCCATAATTTAAATGGCGCTAGTGCAGACATCCTGGATTTTAAGAGAAATCTCTGAATGTACATTATTAGTTTTCATAAAAGAGTATTTCATATATAAATACAACTCTATTGGATAGAAAACGGTTTTGATGTATCAAATATAATATGTCGTTCATTAATTTAGAAGAAAGAATCTAAAAACTCTTAACTTGTAACCGTAAACATTAGTTGACAAACTTTCTAGAACAGTAAAGTTAAGGCTGAAAAGTTAAGTAAAAATCCAGTGACAACTGGCACATAGCACTTTTTCAATTTTGATAATTTATAGTTATATATGGTTTACTATATTTTTATTAATTTGTATCTGTTGAAATAAAAAATGTTTGTTGAATAAATGAAATTAATGTTGAAAAAAGGATGCGCAATGTTGGACCAGTGCAACGCACGCCAAAAAACAGGATTTGTATACATAAACATTTTTCAAAACTTATTCTGGTTGAGCACACAGTGGGTTGTTCCTGGATACACTGCGTCTCTCTATTGCGTGTTGAACAGAAGACTAACCTTCTGTGAGGGTTCAATGGATTTCTTTTTCAAATTTGTTTCTTGGTTTCTTTTTGCTTTGCTCCAAGAATATTTTGCTTTTTTACTCTTGCCAAATAAGTGATAAAAATTCCACATGTTTTATCATTAAAATTTCGATTACTTTCCCTGCTATACAAAAGTGTGTGTGGTTTCGCCAAAGTTTTACAATTTCGAATCGAATCGCGTTTGCTACTAAAAAAACGCAATTAGTTTTATTTTACTTTTTTTGACAACGAGACTCTTTCTTTGTATGTTGGTTTATTAATTATTTTTGGTTTTGAATTTGTTTGTTTTTACACTTTACTTTTTACTTATCGCTTCATGTGATCAGACTTTTTCTAACTCAGGATGTTGAACGTCAAAATAAATAGCAAAAGTATATTTATTTTCTTAATGCAACAATTTTTTTATAAACTCTTATGTGTGTTTATTCGCGTAGCATTTTTGTAATCGAAACTGTTTGTATTGCCAAAACTGGAGAACCGTTAGTTTTTGGTTTGCTCTCATATAACTGACAGTTCTCAATTACATGATATACCATATATGCACTGGTTGTAGTTTTCCAAAAATGGTTGGAACACCTTGAAACTGTTTGTGTTGCACAATTAAGACCGTCAGCGAAGTATTTTCCTTTGTGTTTTGGTTTTTGTTTTCTGTTTATAGTTAATAATTTGCTTATCATTTTAATTTACTAATTACTAAATTTACGGCATTAAATGGTTAATTGTAATTATTTTGAGTGGAGCATTGCGGGATATTGTATGGGATATTAAGGAGCGTATGGATGGATGTGGGGTGATTTCACTTTATATAAAAATGTGGCTAATACAGTACCGCATTGTTTGTTTAAGTACTCTGTCATCGCTTCCAGTTAAAAGAATTTTCGTACTAGGCCTTTTATACCGTTATTATTCCCGACTTCTCAGGTTCCTTATATCCTTTTTTAATTAATTATTTTTTTAATTTTTTTTTCTATTATTTTTTATGTACAAAATATCCAATTATGTATTGCATATATTAAATATTGTAGTTGTGAGTGTATGTACGATTATGTATACTGAATGCTATGTTTGTAGCTAATGGTTTYTCTTCATTTTTGGTTTTTGGATTTTACATCGTCTCTGTTAATTGTTAGTTTCGTAAATATTGTGTTTCATTTGCTGTATTTTGGTTATGACAACCGTATTGGCTGTTTATTTGTAATTCTCTGATTTACTTTTGTCATCTGTGGCAAATTTTYTTCGTGATGATTCTTCACAGATCTTGATAGTTTATCGTGTATCGGATTCTGCTCTGATAGTGGTATCTGCTTAAGTGCAGGCTTATTTTTCATTCTGGTTAAAATTTTTGGATTAAATATGTTTGGTTGTTGTTGCCCAAAGAATTAAGTTTTTGAAAATTGTTAATTCAAATAAACTTTGTTTCCTGAAGTTTGGTATTTTAACAAACTCCTTGTGTTAAAATATATGTGTTTGGTTTGAGTATGATTGTTATGGATGATCATCTTTCAAAGTGTAAACTGCATCGCTTTAAATGTGAAACATGAAAGTGTTCCAGAGAACTCTAATTTAGACCGTTAGTGTATTCCATTCTTTTTCATTGAACACAAAACAGATATTACCAAAATATTACAAACTCAAATTCCAAATTTTGCCAAACGGTTTTTTGTTCACAAAAAAATGAAATTAGTTTGAAACTCAGAAGCTCATTTGAGCCGGTGAGTTGCCTTTAAATTATTTTAAATATTTATAGGCTATTTTATTTACATATTTATGAGTACCGCATTCACTAAAGCCGTGAACTCATATGACGCGTAAAGAATACTTTGAGTTCTCCTAAGAACTTCTCAAAATAGAACCCTGCGTTAGAACTTCTCGGCAATAAGATTAATGCTCACGATTTTTGAATTTTCAAAATTGTTTCATAGAAAACTTAAAGAATTTTGAATTATTAAAAATGTTTTACCCAACGATGCCAATATTTTTAATTGTTTGATTTTAAAGATAATTACGGCAACTCTAATTATTAATTGAGAATATCTTGAAAAAAACTGAATAATGCATAATTTGAAAAATTCCTAAATTTAAGAATTTTGTGGAATTATCGATCCATACTTTAAACAGTACCTGTGAATACCTGAAAAGTAAATAATTATTGCATTCGCCAATAATTAGAACATTTTAATTCAAATGCAGATTGCGCTGTTGCTGCCATACCATATATTTCAGACCTCGTCAGATCCAATGCCCGCAAATACATCAATGTAATTATATAGGTGTGCTTTGTTGGTGTGTTCACTTGGAAGAATAATTTCGAAACATAATAGAAAAACCAAAGAAAATAGCCAAATTTCATTGTTTATGTATTTATGTATTTATTGTTGTATTGTTTTTGTTTTTCTCTCATTTAGTTCTTCTGCCGTTTGCTTTTATTTTTAACTTATGTAGTAATCGTAATTTAGTTAAGTAACTTAAAACTTTAGGTAAACTATGTATGTATGTTTCATTTTGGTAAGTGTAAGTTTGTTTCTTGCTGTTGTTGTTGATGTTCTAATGATTGTAGCTCACAAATTTCTTCGCAGTCGCTTGGGCATCAATCTCATCAAATATTATTCTTATTGTAGCATTACTTGTTTCTATGTATGTATGTATGCATGCGTGTACTCACGTTTGTACTGCAATTAGGTTATGATTTATTTAATGAATTCATTCTCTTGTAGCTTACTAAAATACCTTTTTTAGTTTTGTCTACCAGTGATACATATGTACGAAGTTTATGGTTCTTATTGATTTCGTTCTAAGTACTAAAGTTTACATATATTTCTCAAAAAAATTTAAATCAATTCAACAACTTAAAGTTTAGCGAGAAATAAATTAACTAAAAAACTAAATTAACTTGAGTACATATTTTTATTCTAATGCATTATTATTTGCAGTAATTTTGAATTTAGGAATTTTCGATATTTTGTCAAATTTTCAAATAATATCGTATATAAATTTTGCCTAAAGTTTCATCCAAACATTATATGAGTTATAATTTATTTTCTTTTCTTTTGTCTCCTTGACGTTTATTGTTAAAATGCCTTAAAATTTCCTAAAAGTTTTTCTTCTTATTTTTAACATAGTGCTTTCCAAATTTCAATTAACTATTTTTTACAAAAGAATTTTGTATAAACGCCTGGGAGTCGTAATTCAGAATAACTCTGTTAGGCGCCTATATTGGTTTGTTCCGAAATAATAATGAGTTCTCCTCGAATTTTTATCACAAAATCAGTTACATTTGTAGTTTTTTCTTTACAATTACATTTTAAGCCAAAGAAACATATTTCACTTTATTTTTGTCATAAATTTAGTAAAGGCATTAACAATTAACGATTGAGATTCGAAATTTGTCACTGCAGCAGCATAAAACAATCTAAAAATTATTATTTTTATCATTAAATTACTCAAACTTAGCATAAAAATAAATGATAAATCAAAAACATTACATAATTATATAATTATTTTCCGAATTATAATTTTTTAAACGTTTAAATACTTGTACAAAAATTCTTTTACATACAAGGAAACTTACCACGTGCTCAAAATATTTATGTGACCTTTACATTCYTTCACAAAATATGTCAATTATCAGTTAAAAATACGCTTGCTTTGATTTTCGCCTTTTGTTTTAAACTCTTGTTGGCAGCGGTGTATTAGTGTGACCCGACGATTTTACAATACCCGCGCATATGAACATAAAAGTTCAAAAACTTATTGGATTATAGATACTAGTCAAATTAAAAAAAAGAGGAACGAAGATAATTTGTAAAGAAATGKTTGATTATAAATAAATAAGTAAACGTTTAAAATTTTAAATTTTCGAAAACAAATCAATATTATAATGTAAAACAAAGACACAATTTCTTATTTTTAGTTGCAGAATTTCTTTCCTGATCTCTCTGCGGTATCTTAGCACTAGGCCTGTAAGCTTTTCTTGTCGAAGAAACTGTTTTCTAGTCGGTATCTGTGCTTTTCTGCAGATGTGGATATTAAAGTTTAAATCGCCTTTACCTTATTTTCACATAAAAATATACTAAGAGTTAGTCAACGCCTAGATTGGTACTTAATAATTGGACGTAAGTTGGTTAAAAGACGATCTACTTACTTAGCAAAGTTCATCTTGCCGCAATAATATGGGGTCTTACTGGACATTGTCCAATATGCATTCATACGGACGCAAATTGTATAGACTTGCCTGTACTTTCTTTTCCATTATCTCCAAACACCGCCAGTCTTCCCTTCGACTGGCATTAGCCGTCTGGACAATTTTGTMATTTTTGTTTGATTTGTCGATTTTCAAGGGTCTTCTTCTCTATTCTATAGGAGTTTTAAGTACGACAGCGAACCGGCGTTCTAAACTTTGTAAATGAGAGCCTAACGAGCTTAACGTAGCCTAATCTACTTAAAAGGTAAAAAATACCAATATAATTTAGACCGCTCACCAGCCATCCAGTAGTCAATCCTATTTTTATTTGACCGATTATACCCAATGTAGATTTAAGTTGCCTTAAGCAAATAAATTAAAATGCAAAATAACAGAACACATACGAAATCAATTTATGTTACATATATTTGGTTTAAATGAATAAATAATAGTTTATACAATATAATGCTTGCTAAAGTAAAGGCAAATCTTTGAAAACTTAATAATTAGGAAACTCTATAATTAGGTATGTACAGCTTAAATATTTTAAATAATAAAAAAGTGCATTCAACTTAAATTTAATTACTTCATATTAACTAGTTTAAAATAAAGAAAAGACTAGTGTAAACGTGTACAATGTGATGCCCTATTATTTATTAGTAATTAAAATATAGTAATTGTGAGTCCCGGTGTCAGTATTGGTGGAAAATTTAATAAAAAATTAAAAAATAATAGCACAAGTCGCAAAAATGATATCGAATAAAAGGTTTTTCTTGTAGAAAACAAGGTGCTGTTACATTAACTAGAGAGTAAAACACTCTAATGTAACACTTGAAATTTGTAGTGTTTTTTACAAGAAAAGCCTTTATAATAATATTGTGAATATTGTAAAAAGTCGGCGTCAATTTGAAGAAGAGTTTTCAACCAATTGCTTTTCACACACTGATACACTAACATAGCATGCACATAACTATAAACATTTCGGAGCGTAAGCAGAGAGAGATTAATGTGTTTAAAGTGTTGTGTTTGTGTATGCTCTTTGCAAGCACCAGTTTTCCTAGTAGCAAGTAGGCGCGATCAGTCAATGAAAATGTACGGGTAAGTGAAATGACCTACTGGAAATGAACATGGTCTCAATTCGCTCGGTGTTTCCCAGTGAACTGTGGTTGGGTACATTTCCTGCGATTTTTCGAGTTCCTCGTGAAGATTTTGCAAATAAATAGTTTCAAGGGTGTAATAGTATTGACCCTGGCTGGTAATACTAATAAATCCTACTGCTATATATTTTATTACCAATGTAGGTATGTATATACATATACGCTATTAAATTATCAATGTTGCCTGTCATAGGCATAGTGTGTATGTCGGTTCATATATGTATGTATGTATATATGCGTATGAACTGGATGTATGTATATTAGTGTGTGTAGTGCAACATGACTTGCAAACAAAACTTAATAACAATATATTTAATGGTAAAATTGATTTAAATCTCAGAATTACGCAATAAGTTATGGTCCGAATTCATATCTTCGCCCCTACCAGCAGTTGCAGTTTACACTGTTGTGGTTATAGCTGATGTAAATAAAAATTGTASATATACATATGTGTGCGTTTTCTGTTTTGATTTTTGTGGTGTCTATTTAAGAATGATCTCAGTGGTCCTCAATACCCGATTTACATCATATAAGGCAATTGTTTTTTCTATAGGATTATGCAAGTGTAGTAAGTAATGCATAATCGTATGCACCCTTTTGTATGTATGTATTGGGAGGCGTGTACATTCTTCTATTGCTAAAGTTGTAGTTTCATTCTTCGAAGGGAAGAACTGGAATGCATCGTTAAAAAATTGTGGTTTCAATGTTTGGTAATAAAATTAAGGTGGAATTTCTTCATTTTCAAAATATCCAACAATCGTTAACAATTAGGATCTTTCGTTTGCTTTTATGAATCTCTTATTTTGCTTATTTTACTTTTGTGAACGCAATTCGCGTTGCGAGAATGAATTCGAGAGTTAAGAAAATAATAAATATTTGCGAAGTTTACTTTAGGATTTGCTTGCAGCATTTTGTTAAATTACCTTCATCGTATTGTCGAAATATTTTAGTTATATTCGTCAAAATTTGTTCGTTCGAAATTTCATTATTACCTGGTTCGGGCACACCTTTCATATATTTTGCGTTTCAGTTGGAAAGGCGTTACTTCCCCCACATCATTATATGAATATAACATACATGTTTCGTATTCCTTAAAAGCCTAAACGCACTCGTATAGTATCGATTAGTTTCGTCGTCAATTTTAATACTTAGTGTTTTAGTGGTTTCTAAATTATCGTCATGTTAAAATTTCGCGCAGTAGTTTTCGTATTTCCATATAAAATGATTTATAATYAGGGTGGGAAACCAAAACTGATAGGTTCAACTTAATTTATACTCGTCAAATTTTGTTGGTATGCTGTGCCTGCAGCTATGCTGGTTACACTTGCTGAGGCATTAGTTGGCGTAACTGTAACTGCGTTTGTTGGAAACGTTGTCATTGGTTCGGTTGTTGCATGCACAGTTGCTGCAGCTGATGTTGCAAGCGCTGTTGTTGTTGTGATTCCTGTCGTTAAAAGTTTCGAAGATTTATTTGATTTGGATTTGCGTTTTAAATTTGTGCGAAGCATGTGAATAACGCGATTGCGTTCACTTTCCTCTTATTCCAATTGTTCCAAAAAGTTAGGAGATTTGAAATATTCGGGCACTGCATCGTCCATGCGAGATATGACTTTATAAATTGCCTTCTTCCAAGATTGTTCGGTGTCTTTGCCACCCTGAATGGCGCGAAAGAATTCCCGCAGCGTTTGTTCTATCACAAAGCGGAAGTTTTGCGGTACCTTTACAAAACAACAAAAAATATTATTAATAATTTTTAACGTCTTAAAATATTATTGCGACTTTTTTGCTATTTTCTCTTATTTATTTGAGTATAAGTACCTCAATGTGATTGTTGCGGTTGTAATGTAAGTTTAGAACACGATACAACTCACTGTCCCCGCCAACATGAAGCTCATCGGCGCACTTGACACCCTCAGTAACCGCCTGGCGCGCGTACTTCTCCATTTGGATATAGTAGAATTCTCTGCAAACGTCAAACATTTTTATAAGAAATTTGTTTTGATGAAATTTAATAATATTCTATGTAATATCTGATGAGTAATTAAATGTCCTTGATAATAAAACCAAGAGCCAAATTCGAATTAACCGCTCATTCTTTACTATCGCAATTTGCAAGGATCACAGCAGAAGATATTTTTGCAGTTATTTGTAGAATTTTAAAATAAACAAGTAAGGAAGGGCTAAGTTCGGGTGTCACCGAACATTTTATACTCTCGCATGATAAAGTGATAATCGAGATTTCAGGCGTGGTTGTGAACCG